CTCATGTTTAGCATAAGGATTTTCATTGCATTTTTGTTTTCAGTACAGCATCTCACCCCGCCCCCCCCCCCCCCCCAGGGGCCTCTGCCTTGTGTTCCAGAGTCTAGGATGTGTGTGATTCAGCCTCTCCAGAAAGTAATTTGTCCTGGCTTCTTCTTGGTGTGAGGGAAGGACTCCTTGGGATAGGAAATGAAATCTGAGGTCTTAATTATCTTTCCTTCTGTTTTCAGCCACACCTCATGCTCCCTCCTTCAGAGGGACCTGTTGCCTCCAAATTCTGAGGGATTTCCTTAAATTATTTTGTTTCCTAGTGGCTCCATACAAGTTTGCCAGCTGAGTAACATTGAGCAGGTTATACATGAGTTTTGTCATTTGTAAAATGGCAATAAGTCTTGGGATTGTTGTAAAGATTAAATGTTAGTAGATGTAAAGCACTTAACACTATCCAGGCACCATAACAAGTGCTTTAGAAATGTTTGTTATTTTTATTAACTGTAATCATTCTCAGGATGCTTCATTATTTACCAGTTGTCCAATAAACTTTTAGCTTCCAAAATTTTGCTAATGTCTCATCCACTGCCCTTCTTTCCCCAGTTCTCTTTGTCCTTTAGGTCTTTAATCCATCATGTTTAAATTGAAGACTTACTAATTTTCTAATAGTAATATTTACATTAAGACTCTACAACAGCATAAACAATTTTTTGAGAGACTATATTTTGAAAGTGTTTTCACTTTTGTACAGTTTTTCTACATTCTTATGTTCATGAGGCTTTTGAAAATGAGTATGTTTGAATGAATGAAAGAAATGAATGAAAATGTTATGACATCTGAAATAGAATTGAATATATAAACTTATAAATCGATTTGTTCATTAATTTGTCCAGATTTCTGCTAACAGTACTCGTCCTGCTCGCTGGTATGCCAAACTTGGATTCTCTCCTGATCCTAGGCCTTTCCCTCTCCCCTTGTCATCACTTTTCAGTGATGGAGGAAATGTTGGTTGTGTTGATGTAGTTGTTCAAAGAGCATACCCAATACAGGTATGATATATTCTTAAAGCTTACTATGTATTTCTTCCTTTTGGGACAATTAATTTGAATGATCCCTCCCTACCATGTATCTTTGTTTGACACATTTTACAGTGGATGGAGAGGACCCTATCTGGAATATGCGTATTTCGGAATGAACGAGAGGAAGAAAAGGAGGCAACAAAATATGCAGAAGCCCAACAAAAGAAACTAGAAGTCTTATTCAATAAAATTCAAGGGGAATTTGAAAAGCACGACGGTAAATGAGTTGTATATTACAAGTTCTTTTTAATATGAGAACAAGTGTTTTTTATAAGATGTTTAGAGGCTTCTGATTTAACCTCTGTAATTGAGTGAATTTCTGTTTTGAATAATAGACTTCTCTTTCCTAATTCTGTATCTGAATTACATAGGTATACAGATAAGCACTGAAGTGACCCCAAATTATCACCTCTTTATTCAACACACTGAACTTTTAGATACTTGTGATTGTCTTAGACAGTGAAACATTACATAACCACAGCACTTTTCAGCAGTCTTAAGTAAACTTCCTCTTAAGCTTCAGTACTAAAGTGTTTATAGTATCCTTTTTTGGTATTAGAGAAAGATCAGCAGCAAGGGAAAAAACTGCCAAATTATTTTCCCCTAGACAAGTACAGTATGATGTCACTTACATAAGGAATGTAACTAAATCAAACTCATAAAAAAATAGAGTAAAATGGTGGTTATCAGTGGATGAGGGGTGGGAGGATAAAACTGATGGTGTTTAAGGGTAAAACAACAACAAGTAAATAAGCTGTAGTGATCCAATGCACAGTATAATGAATATAGACAATATTGTACTAATGTGATAAATATCAATACAGTGGCAATCATATTAAGTATATAAATGTATCAAAGTAACACATTGGACACCGTAAATATACACAGTGTTATATGTCAAATATATTCAATAAAAAGGAAGGATAAGCACTCAAAAATTATTTTCCCCAAGCCGTGTATCATTTTCTTTCTTCAATATCCTTACCTACTTTATATATAACTTTTGCATTTTCATTGTTGTAGTTGTTGATTTATATGTTATTACACCTGGAGCTAGATCTTGTTTTCCCTGTGGCAGCAATTTAATAATAAAAAAATCACAGTATTTTTAGCATAAAGGACATGACATTTATGTTTGTTATTTGCTGAAAATTTTATGTTCTGCGTTTCTTCATGATTTTCAACTTCCTGTTCTATATAAATCTGCAGAAAAATTGGACTCTCAATATTCGATTCACCAGCTCATGCTATTTTCATGATTAAGTAAATCATGAAATCATTTACTTAATTTACAAGTTACTCTAAGTAAGCTGTCTTTGTGACAATTTTTTAAACCATGAGTGAGTACACTAGTTTGAAATTTTCCTAGAAAACTTTTAGCAGATAAATTGTGTTTTGCCTTTTAGCCTCCCTTCTTTGGGTACTTTTTGCTTTTTCTCTAGCTTTCAGTGTTCTTAAATTTGTGGTTTGGCTAATTAATGATGCTTTTTTTCCTAGAAAATATAACAAAACGATGTATACCATCATGTGCATTAACAAGACAGCAAGTCTGTGCTCTGCAAGATGGTGCAGAGCTTTATGAAGCAGTGACGAATGCACCAGACCCAAGTTATCTGGAGGTGAGAGAGTAAGAGGGCATCCAGTGGGTCTTAATCTTCCTCCTTTATGGTGGGAAGCTCTAGTCCATCTTCTGGCCATTAAGGCAAGTGCTTTGTTGAAAGGGTGTGTTTCTCAAAGAGGATGTATACATTTCTGGGGTTCTCAGGGATGGGCCAGACCAGTGCAGTACATTTGCAGTTCTATACCAAATGGAGGATAGAAGAATTAAATAATTTTATATATTAGATAAATGTGGTTTAAAATACAGGCAAAACTTGTTTACATTTGAGGTAAAACAAGTATCTTCAAAGCATTGTCTCAGTTTCCATATGCTCACTTCTTTCTCAGATCCTACCTAGAGTTTATTTCCTAATCTTCTACCTTAAGAGTATTTTGGTGGAAAAGTGTCAGAAGCGCTAAACTGTGTTAGAATTATGGCTATGCCATTTATTAGCCAATTGGGCATAAAATAGCTATAAAATGGGCATAAAATCAGTTGTTTCAGGATCAAATTAAATAATGTATATAAAAGTGTACTATTATAAAGTTCCACGACCATGTTAGTTACTAATACTGGAACATCATTTTATATGTTAAGCTATCTCCTGAATTTTTAGACACCTGGATATCCAGTTAATGCAAATTCTAGGATTAATTAGCTACATAGGAAGGAGAGGGAATTTGAGGAAAATTATTGTTTGTTTATTGATTAATCTCATTTATTTGATGACAGTAAATCTAGTATATAGCCTTAACTTTCTTAACTAGTGGGACTCCAAAATAGACAAAACTCCCTTAAGAGAGTAAGCACTGCTTTTCTGAATAGAATTGCTCATATTCCCAAATGTGACAACTCAGATTCTGCCTGTGAGGAGTGAGTCTGGGTTTAAACCCTGTGAGTATACTTGCTGAAAGTCTGTCAGTTAAGGCTTTATTATGCTTTCCTGAAAAATGATTTGCCTCTTACTGAAGCTATGCTTTCTATGAGTCATCATGAAAATAGTTTTAATTTCATCACAAAATTTAACAAAATATTATTTAGTCTTGTTTCCTTTTATGGAATTTATTTAAAGGAGAAAATAAGGGGGCAGAATGAGAGTTGGAAGACTTAGGTTGTAGCCCTGGGCCTGCCACTCTGTAGCTGGACAGATGATTTCTCTCTTGGGCCTCCCCACCACCTCTGTCAAAGGAAAGCCTGTGAGGGGCTTCTCACTAGGTCCTGAGAGTACATGATTCTAGAGATTTCACTTAGATACAGTTTTCATTGCAATTCTTGGAGGGAAAAATAGCCATCCATTTCTAAAAGACCCTGCCCAAAGGGTTTGTTTTCAGTGACCATGTTGAATGTTGGGGGACTTTGTGTTTAAACTAAACATTATCTGCATATTTAGAAAGACCTGTTCAGGGTACACAGATCCCATAGTTTCCCTTCCCAGTATGGATTAGGATATTAAGATGTGTGAGGCAGCTGCAGTCTAGTGCAATGTGAGTCAGGATTCCATTTCATCTTTTATTTGATTTTTTTGTTTGTTTATTCATTCATTTTTGTTGTACTGGGTGAGAGTCCCAAGAGATACAGACAGCAGTTTGCTAAAATGAGCAGGAGAGAAGTGAGGAGGCAGAGATAAGTGCTTGTAGCATGCGTCTGTTTTCAACACTATCTGCTGTTCCAGAGAGTTAATAAAATTATACTACCTCGGGTTAAGAATGAGAGCTCTTGAACTACCTCCACATACGCCCCTGCAACTTATTTATTCTCTCTGTACCTCAGTTTCATTTTCTACAACATGCAAACAATACTAGTGCCCACCCCATTGGGTTATTGTAAGGACTAAATGAATTAATACATTTACCACACACAGATCCAATCCTCAGATACAGGGAGCACTCAAATGTCAGCCATTTATAATGTTGGTGGTTATGATTATTAGAGTACATTTATAAGTAGGGGGTTGTCTTGGCCCTCGGGAAATTTGTCACAAAGATAAGTGAACAGTTTAAGGCACCTGAAAATACTTGTTATGTGATGAGCTGAGTCTCAAATTTTATATTGTCATATTGTTAAAGTGAACTCGAATTCTGTTGTATTTTATCCCCATTTAAAGAGATGCATTTACAATGGATGAGGGGTTTTTTTGGTTTGCTTTTTATTCTAATATCATTTGCCTTAATATATTAAATGATCATAGGGTTACTTTAGTGAAGAGCAGTTAAGAGCCTTGAATAATCACAGACAGATGTTGAATGATAAGAAGCAAGCACAGATCCAGTTGGAATTCAGGAAGGCTATGGAATCTGCTGAGCAAGGAGAACAAATTTTATCAAGGAATGTTACAACCGTGTGGAAGTTGCGTATCATAAGCTATGGGAAAAAAGAAAAAGATTCAGGTCAGTATGTAAATTTTATAAGTTAAAGTACTACATTAATAAAATGAGTTCAAATGCTAGATAAAGTATAAAGTGAACTTGTATCAGAGGAGTAAAAATGGGCTACCACTGCCCTCAAAACAATGCTATAATCCTTAGATCTTTGTTGTTTCGGTATTTGTTTTACAAGAATTGTAATGCTTATCAGTTCTTCCATTATATCTTTCTCCTCTTTATCTAGTTACACTGAGTATCTGGCGTCCATCATCAGATTTATATTCCCTGTTAACAGAAGGAAAGAGATACAGAATCTATCATCTTGCAACATCACAATCTAAAAGTAAATCTGAAAAAGCTAACATACAGCTAACAGCAACAAAGAAAACCCAGTATCAACAACTACCGGTACAAACTTTTCATTATGGTTTTTTAATTTTGATGAATGCATATTAGTTTATAGAATCTACATACACTGATTTTTTTTTCCTCGTAGGCTTCAGATGAAATCCTATTCCAAGTTTATCAGCCGAGGGAGCCCCTTAACTTCAGCAAAGTATTGGATCCAGACTTCCAACCACCTTGTTCTGAGGTGGACCTAATAGGATTTGTAGTTTCTGTTGTGAAAAAAATAGGTAATACACAGTGTGTTTTTAATTGTAACATCTTATGGATGCTTTTGAAAAATAATATTTTTTAAAATTTGTCTTCCCTTAAGATTAATTGGAGTTAACAAATGAGCAAATTTGGTGACTAGTGATTTGAAAGTAAGCCTGTTTTAACCTTAATTCTTAATGAAAAGCAATTCTGCATTATTACAGGGTAAGAACTTACATCCCATTCTGTGCTATTTAATTTTAAAGAAATTGCTAGAAATGTTTTGTAGCATTTGAATGATTACTAGACAAATAATTATAATCTGCCTCTGCAGTTTATTGAACATTCAAGCCTCCATCTTCAGCTTCTCGGCAGTATCCCTCATTATCTGGACTAATGTCCCTTGTTCTAAAACCTACTTTGTTTAGTGTGGCTCCTCCTACTTTTTGTGGTTAGTTCTTGTTTGTATGGTACATCTTTTCCCCACTCTTGTTTTTAACCTACCAGCATCTTTAAATTGGTTTTCTGACAACACGGTTGGATCTTGTTTTCTTACGCAGTTTGAGGGCCTGTCTTTTAATGGGTTTGTTTAATCTGATCAGCTTTAATGTGATGATTGATATGGTTGGATTAAAATCCACCACCTTGCTAGCTATTTTCCCCTTGTCCCATTAGTTCCTGGTGTTGGCAGGCTATTCTCTGTGATGTTAATGCACATTTTATAGCAGCCATTGTCTCAGACTCTCACTTCAAGAATGCTTGCATAGCAGAAAATCTTGGAAGGATGGAGATCCTGTCTGCCTCCAACACAGAGGGCAGATTTGTTTCCCAACCAGGCAATCCGATCCCTTTTTCTATGAGTTTGGTTTTTTTTGTTTATTTTTGTTGTTGTTATTGTTGTTTAAATTCCACATGTAAGCGAGATTCTGACTGTATTTTGAAGGAGGCAGACAGTGTAGGTAGGGTAGGAGAGGAGTCAAGGAGTTAATGCCAAGGTGTTTGGTTTGAGCACCTGGGAAAAGAGTTGCCATTTACTGAGGGGAAGAGTGCAAGAAAAACAGGGTATGTGTTAAGGGTCAGGAGCTCAGTTTGGTCAATTAAGTTTTAGCACTTAGTATAAACAGAGATTTCTGTTTGACAGTTGGATATACAGGAGTCTGATCGGGGGAGTGGTCTGGGCTATGACATAAAGATAAATTAGGACGTCATCATCATACAGGTGATGTTTAAAGCTGTGAGACCGGCCAAGGTCACTGGATGCGGGAGTAGCTGGAGAAGCAGCTCGGGCACGCTGGTGCTTAGAGGCAGGGAGATGTAAAGGACTCGGTGGAAGAAACAGGACGAGCCACTGAAAGATGGCAGAAGTACTTAGGACGGTGAGCTGCATTGAAAGCGCAGAGGGAAGAAGAATCCCGGAGAGGTGAGAGTGATTCAGTCTCAGATGGTATTTGATAGCCGAGACAGCGAGGTGAGGGCCAGGAAGGGACTGTTGGCTTCAGCACCAGGGAGGACGCTGGACGCATGGAGAGGCATGCATATTAGGTTATAGAATGCAGCCATTTCAAGAAGATCATGCTTTAAGCAAAGAAGGGAAATGGAGCACTCACAAGGAAGAGAGTTGGGATCAAGAGAATGTTTTTTCTCATGAAAAAACCAATAGCAGCCTGATGAGATGGTATATACTGATGAGAAAGGCCCAGTGAGGAAGGTGAATGCTTTCTGGGGGGGGCGGGTAGCAGCAGCCTGCAAGGAGCAGGGGAGTCACCTACACCAGCTTGACTGCCAGGAGCACAAGAGGTCTGCAGGGGCAGCCGTGCCATCCGAGGAGAGCCAGCAAGCTGGTAAGGACAGCAGTTACAGGAGCAGTTGAGCGGAGTGGGGATTTGTCCAGGGAAGGCACTCCAGCAGACAGGGAGAGGTAGGAGATGGTGTGAAAGGAGTCAGTGTGCAGAGCTTTCTGGAGACAGCCCAGGGAATACAGCAGGACCTGGGAGCTGGCTGCTTGTCAGACTGACCTGAAACCACTTCTGATGGCCCCGGGCAGGACAGATAGTGGTGAGGAGGTGAGGTGTGTGCCGAGGAAAAGGCGGGTCTTGACTTTCTGCCATATCCCAAATCATTGTCTTCCCCTCTTAGTTATCACGTGATGGCTGAGTACTTGAGTTTCTTTCCACTGTATGTTGTGTATCCCTGGAAGATACTGTCTCTGTTCTACATTGTCTTCCCCAATTGAGTGAGTCACCCTGTGTATTAATTTGCTATGCTGCCGTAACAAAGTGCTGCAAACGGGTTGCTTGAACAACCAAAATGTATTGTCTCACAGTTCTGGAGAGCAGAAGCCCAAAATCAGGGTGTTGGCCGAGTTGGTTCCTTCTGAGGCTGTGAGGGAGAATCTGTTTAGTGCCTTGCTCCTAGCTTCCGATGGTTTGCTGGCATTTTTTGGTGTTCCTTGGCTTATAGGTGCATCACCCCGATCTCTGCCTTCATCTTCACATGGCGTTCTCCCCATGTACGTGTCTGTGTCCAAATTTCCCCTTTTTATAAGGACATTGGGTCAGACCCACCGTAATGACTTCATCTTAACTTGCTTACATCTGCAAAGACTTTGTTACCAAATAAGGCCACATTCACAGGTACTGAGGTTTAGGACTTGAGCATCTTGGGTGGGGCACAGTTCAACCCATTAACACCCTGGAACATTCACTTCTTTCAGTCAGTCCTGGTCACCTGCTTCCCTTGTGGCCATTTTCATTATTTCTGATCAGAAGAGGAAGAAGGCAAGGAGACGCAGGCCGTTTGCCTTCCTTTAGGTTTAAGGGTAATAACATTCTCAAGCTACATGTCATTTCACCAGTTTGGGGAAAGGAATTAGAAGCTGAGCCTTTCTGTGCCTGGCCTTATCCACAATCTTGTTTCTTTCCTTCATCACTAATTTTTAAATTTTATATCAGGGTATCCCTCATTTGTGTTTTTGGTGAACATTTCTTTCTGTTTTTATTTAGTTTGATGTTAACTGTTAGAGGAAGAAAATTCTGTTACAGAAAGCTTCAAAGTGCCACCTTAAGCCTGAGGTACTAGTTACCTAACACCCAAATCTGATCATGATGTCTCCTGGTTTAAAATCTTCAGTGGCTCCTATCCCTTAGAAAACGAAACCCACACTCCTTCATATACCTGAAAAACTCACCTGCTGCCTGCCTTAAGCCACCATCCCACACACCTCAGCTGAACTGTTGTGACTTCGTGTTCCTGACCCACTATATAGAACATTTAGTACTTCCTACCTTTAAATATGTGTTCACTTCGCTTACAGTGCCCTTTGTCCTCCCTTCGTGAAGAATTGAAGAAAGGCTGTCATGCCTTAGCCAGCTTACAGGCCCCCCCACCCCCACCCCCAGCCAGATGCCTGTGCCAGGGTCGGAGCTTCCCTGCTCAGCTGCCGCGGCGTGTCATGGCTGGGTCGGCACCCATCACGTGCATCACATGGCCCAGGGGCCTGTCCCCACATTCCTGACCCTCCTCCCCACCCATGATACTGTGATCTCTTCAAGGACAGGGACTCTGTTTTAGTTCCTTTCTGTCCCCACTTCTAACAAAGTGGGGCAGGGCAGGGTGGGGGAGCAGGTAATTGTTGAGAACTTCATAAAGTCCTCATAGTAACACTGTTCATTTGCTGTTATTCCACTTTACAGATGGGGAGACTGGAGCTCAGAGAGGTTAAATAACCTGCCCAAGGTCACAGTTATGTAAAGGATTGGAACCCATACTTTCAGGCTCTAATGCTTATGTGTTCTTTCTTACACTTCCCGCTGACAAAACCAGACCCAACCCAACCATTTGAGAATTGGACTTAAAATAGGGACTTCTAGCATTCAGTCTGTTTTGTTACTACATTACAAAAACTGGTATAAAGTGAATTACTTAAATGAGACCACTTCTTAGGTCAGTTTCCCTGGGAAACCCTCAGATTTCCTGGAAAGCGCCCCCCAGAACAGCACCTGTGTGTCCCGTGGGGACTCTGCAGTGAGCATGGCCCTCAGGGTCATGCCGGCTTGAGGCTAGGGGCCAGTCACTGGACGCATGCTTCCTCCAGAGAGTGGGGCCCTACAGCAGAGGGCGAGCCTGGGAGAGGGAGCTCAGGTGGCAGCGGGCCATAACCAGTGCTCCCTGAAAGCGCACGCTGGACCTGAAGATGGAGGGCTCTGCACCCACACAACATCGCTGGCCGGAGAATTCGTGAACGGAGGTTTAGAAACTGCTACGTGCTTTATCCTTTCAGTGAAATTTTCTAAAAAGAATTTAAAAGGTACAGCGAATTATGCGTAAGTTCAGAGCAGCCCCAGACTATAAACCAACAAAATAATTTTCTTCTTATCCTTTTATTTTCATGATTTTTTTAGTGCCAACATTCTAAAAGTGTTACTTTTAAAAAATTCTTCCAATTGTTACCATTTGTACAAGATGCATGGTAATTAGAGAAATAAGTAAGGTTTCTGGTTTTTTTTTTTTTTTTTTCAACGTATACGATTTGATTTAGCTATGAAATCTCTAGGAAAAAATGAAGAGAGGAAACTATCCTGGAAGCTGATTTTTATATTTTGCATTTTCTAAATGTTTTTCAGTAAACGTGTATTACTTTCATAATTGGGGGAAAACAGAGTTTATTTTTTCATTACTTTAGAGAACAAGTGGGAGGGGGAGAGGCAGAGAGAGAAGGAAAGAGAGAATCTTAAGCAGGTTCCATGCTCAGCATGGAGCCCAATGTGGGGCTCAGTCTCACGACATTGAGATCATGACCTGGGCTGAAATCAAGAGTCAGATGCTTAACCGACTGTGCCACCCAGACGCCCTGAAAAACATAGTTTAAAGAAGGGCATTTGATAGAAGGGCTATAATCAAGTTTTGAATATAATTAGAGGCAAATTCCAAAATTAGAAAATCGAACATGCTTGGGAAATATAATTTCTCTAAAAGCAATTTTTAATATTTAAGATTAAAATCCATTAAATAAATCTACTTATAAAACTGAAAGAAATAAAAGGAATTACCATCATTTGCAATAGAATAAACAAATCATTATCTGAGAATGGAATCCATTCCTGTCATTTATAAAGGGAAATGTAATTCTTACAGAGACAAGGAATTCTAAATAGTAGGATTGAATGGTTAGTGCCTTTGTCCTGTCCTGGTTTATCCAGTGGTCCCCTCCCATTTTTGGCATTGAAATTTTTTTACTTTTTTTTTTTTTTTTTTTTGAATAATTTCAGACCTTCAGAAAAGTTGCAAAAATAGTACAGACTTTCCAAATATCTCTCACCCAGCTTCCCCTAATGTAAGCATCCTACATGACCATGGTACCATGATCAGAATCAGGAAGTTCACATTGGCACAATATTATTACCTACACTATAGAATGTAATTGAATTAGAAGTTTGTCATGCTATTTTCCTTTTTTTATTCTGGGATCCCACTTTCATTCCATCATCATTTCTCCTTATTCTCCTCCAGTCTTTGATAATTCCTCAGTCTTCTCTTGTTTTTCATGATCTTGACTCTTGAATAGACTGATCAATTATTTAGTAGCATTTCCCTCCATTTGGGTTTGCTGTTTTCTCATGACTGGAATAAGGTTATACATGTTTGGCAAAATTACCACAGAAACAGTGTTGTGCCTGTCCTTCTCTCGTATCAAGGGGTTAATGAAGTTGATGTTGCTTATTACTGAGAGTGGCAACCTTGATCATTTGGTTAAGGTGGTGCCACCTTAACCTTGGAGCAGATTCTTTGAGACTGTGCAAGTCCTATTTCACCTCAGACTTTTCACCAATTAATTTTAGCATCCATCAGCTGATTTTGTTTGCAACAGTTTTTATTGTAGTATTTGCCTAATGATTTCCTTTTTTCTTTTCCATTTATTGGAATTCATTGGAATTCCATTGTAAGAGCTGCCTCTTTTCCCCAAATTGACTTCCTAATTGATTTATATTGATTTATAGTATGGACTAATGAATATGTATTTTATTCTGTGGGTTAAAATTCAATACCTGCATTATTTTGTTTTGCTCCAATTGTTTCAGTTTAGGCCATTAGGAAATTTTTCAGGTTGACTCCTGTAATTTTTTGAGCACCTCTTTACTGTTTGGCATCAACGAGATGTTCCAGGTTCATGCTGTATGTTCCTTGTCCCAGTGAAGTTGAATCAACTACTTCTCCAAGGAACCCTGGATTTTTTTTTTTTTTTTTTTTTTTGAGAAATTGGTGTTTACAGCCAACATCTGCTTGCTAGACTATGTACTCATTACTTCAGAGGTACCATTGCTTCTAGGCCCTTTTAGATAGAAAGGCCAGGAAATATGTTTGTGTTCCATTTTGAATTTCCTATCTGGTTGGGTTTATTTGTTTGTGGGCTATGTGAAGGGTGTGTGAAATACTGCGTTCTAAGAGTCAGCTGCACAAAGGCATACTCCAAGAAGTGTCAGTCTCTCTCATCCCTTCTACCCTAGTGCTGTTCCTCCCCTTCTGTCTACCCACATCCTATCTCTGTAGTTTCTGGTTTATCCTTCCTGTGTTTGTTCTCTACAGGTGGAAAGATACATGTATATATTTTCTTATAGCAACATCTTTCTTATATGAAGGGTAACAAATTTTAGTCTTTTTTTGGTGTGCTTTTCTCTTTTCACTTAACAGTGAATAGAGAGCTTTCTCTTTTTTTTTTAAATTCCTATGTATTCTGTTCTTTTTGGTGCAGTTGTAAATGGGATTTTCTTAATTTCTTTTTCTGCTATTTCATTATTAGTACATAGAAACGCAACAGATTTCTGTGTATTAATTTTGAATCCTGCAACTTGACTGAATTCATTTATCAGTTCTCATGGTTCTTTGGCGGAGTCTTTATGGTTTTCTATATAGTATCATGTCATCTGCAAATAGTGGAAGTTTTACTTCTTCCTGACCAATTTAGATGTCTTTTCTCTCTCTTTTTTTTGGTCTGATTGCTGCAGCTAGGACTTCCAGTACTGTGTTGAATAAAAAGTGGTGAAAGTGGGCGTCCTTGTCTTGTTCCTGACCTTAGGGTCTCACTAGTGAATATGATGTTAGCTATGTGTTTTTCGTATGTGGCCTTTATTGTATGTTCCCTCTAACCCTACTTTGTTGAGGATTTTTATCATGAATGTATGCTGTACTTTGTCAGATCCTTTTTCTGCATCTATTGAGACAATCATATGGTTTTTATCCTTTCTCTTATTGATGTAATGTATCACGATGATTGATCTGTGAATACCGAAACACCCTTGCATCCCAGAAATAAATCCCACTTGATCGTGGTGAATGTTTGTTTGTTTGTTTTTTAATGTATTGTTGGATTTGGTTTCCTAATATTTTGCTGAGTATTTTTACATCTGTGTCCATCAGGGTAATGCTGTCCTCATAGAATGAATTTGGATGTTCTCCTTCCTTTTCTATTTTTTTGGAATAGTGTGAGAAGAGGTAGTCATTCTTATTTAAATGTTGGTAGAACTCACCTGTGAAACCATTTGGTCCTGGACTTTTGTTTATTGGGAATTTTTAAATTACTGATTCAATTTCATTCCTGGTAATCAGTCTGTTCAAATTTTCTGTTTCTTCCTGATTTAGTTTTAGAAGGTTAACATATTTCAAGGGATGCCTGGGTGGCTCAGTCCGTTGAGCGTCTGCCTTTGACTCAGGCCATGATCTCAGGATCCTGGGATTGAGCCCCATGTTGGGCTCCCTGCTTGGCGGGGAGCCTGCTTCTCCCTGTCCCCACTGCTTGTGCGCTCTACTCTCTCCCTCTCTCTCTCAAATAAATAAAATCTTTAAAAAAAAAAAAAGGTTACATGTTTCTAAGAATTTATGCATTCTAGGTTGTCTAATTTGTTGGCATATAATTCTTCATAATGTTCTCTTCTAATCCTTTGTATTTCTGTGCTGTCAGTTATTATTTCTCCTCCATTTGTGATTTTGTTTTATCCTTTCTCTCTCTCTCTCTCTTTTTTTTTTTTTGATGAGTCTGGCTTTAATCTGGTTTATCAATTTTGTTTATCTTTTCGAAGATCTAGCTTTTGGTTTCATTGATTTTTTTTTTTTTTTTTAGTCTCATTTATTTCTGCTTTAATCTTTATAATTTCTTTCTTTCTACTGGCTTTGGGTTTTGTTTGTTCTCTTTATATTTTCTTTAGGTGTAAAGGTTATTAGGGATTTTTCTTGTTTCTTGAAGTAGGCCTGTATTGCTGTAAACCTCCCTCTTTAGAACAGCTGTTGCTTCATCCCAAAGATTTTGGACCATTGTGTTTTGAGGGCATTTCCTCATTCTTTCATACAGCTGCATAGTACAGC